GAAATCACCAAAAGTACAACTATTAACAAATATGCACAACTAAAAAACTGGCCGTAAAACTATGTGTTAAATAACGGAAATAACAGCGCACACGTGTAAATAACGGCCCACATGTCCTAATAACGTTGCACATGACTTAATTATGTGGCATTCTTTGATTGGGTTAGACCCATTTTTTAATAAAAAAATTCAAAATATTAAAAAAGTAAAATTTAAATGATTTTCCCTCATTTTCCATTTCTCCCCAAATATCTAGGGTTTATCGTTTATCATCTCCTCCTTTGAACGGCGACGGTGATCCGAAACTCGAATTTTTGATAGCTTCCATTTTCGACGGTAAATCAACCTTCCATTTCGATCTTAGTTTTTTGGATCTTATTTTTTGGATCTTAGTTTTATGGTTTAGATCTTTTCGGGATTCATATCTTCGATTGTAGAAACATGGGTCGTTGGAAACACGAGGATATATTCGGCGAGTTCGATACTGGGTCCAACCACAGCAACTCATCATTTTCGGATGACGAACTCATCTTCCCCAAATATGATTATATGGCAGATATAACTCCAACTCGATTTGCTCCTAACCCGGTGACATGGGAGCCCTCACCTATTGGTTTTCAGACCAGATGTTACTGTGGAAAACCATCTGTGTTCGTCTAAATGAGCTAAAGGAGAGCTCTTTGAAACTTCATGCAAGGCTGACGAATTTGGAAACTTATTTGAGGAGCTGAAGGAGATGAAAGGGAGACGGATTTCAAAACTTTTGTATTGTACTTGGTTTTATTGGATTGTTTTGTTAAACTAGCACTTGTTTTTGTTGGATTGTTTTGTTAAACTAGCACTTGTTTTATTGAATTGTATAAATTAGTCTGGTCTCCAATTATTGAATTATTGAACTAAACCAGTTTTACCTAAAAGTACCAATAGTACAAACACATGTTCACAGTTTTACCTAAAAGTACCAGTAGTACAAACACTAAATCCACTTTGGAAACAAAGATACGTTCACAGTTTTACCTTAAAAGTACTAGTACTACGAAACACTAAATCCAGTTTTGCATAAAAAACCAAAGTATAATAGATAGAGTTCAAGACAGGAGGATGAGTATTAGTTCTTTCAGTTCTTCTTGCTGGGTTCGGGGCCATGTAGGGAGTCCTTAATCTTGCTGCTGGCTTCTTAATCCTMTTCTCACCAACAACTTCATTCTGTTCTTCTGCCTCTAGCTCCTTCTCCACTCTACTCTCCTCCCCCTTCTCACCTTCTGCCTCTGCCTTCGGAAATTTCTCCGCTTCCTCTGCCTCTGGTTCCGATTTAAATCCAATCAAAGAATGCCTTTGATCCGAAAATCTCTCGGCTTCCTCTTCCTCTGCCTCCCGTCGTGGTTGCGAGAATTGGTTTAAATCCTATTTACACGGGATGGGTTGGATAATCCGCATGGGCCGGGTCAATAATAGGTTGGATCGGTAATTAAAAACAAGTTCTCTGGTTTTTTTGTCTTTTCCGCCAATTTCGAATTAAAAAAAAAGATAATAAATCCTTATTATTTTCGGGTTATTTGTTAATTCGGTTTCCTTTTGAGGGTTATATGAGGTTTTGATCATATGATGACGAATATAAGTTTTAAATTTTCAATATACACATTTTATAGTCGTAGTCTTTAGAATGAGATGTTTTCTCTCATCGCGGAGCGTTTATTCTCCGACGATGATTCATCTTTGATGAACAGTATAAAATCGTCGATCGATGTGATTTATATCAGACGGTTATGGTGGAATTCTTTCAAAACATTTCAGATTTTGACAAATGAATTTGGAATTGTTTTCTCACATTTTCTGTTACTGATGGAGGATAATCTTTGACGGATGATACAAGAGATAGGGATGCATATTGAAAGTGTCGACGATTGATTTCGATGGAGTGGCGAATAACGAGACACATTCATAAAATGGTTTTCACAATACCGAAAATCATTGATGTTATCTCATGGTGTTGGAGATTCGTAAATGCGTTGCAATGGAGCAGATGGATGATCTTTTAAAAATTTATTGGAACTTCATCAGAAAATGACAGCTAATCTTGATGATTATACTAGATCGAAGACGAATAAGAAAAACATCATATTTGATAATCTGGTAAAGCTGATCTACGAAAAAAACAGCGTATAATTTCACTTATCATATTGATATCTATGTAAACATTGTTTCGAATTAATAAAGTTATGACGAAACGAAAATAATTGGATATATTTTTTTCGGAGCGAATATGAATATTATGTAATGAACCAGCGCTATATTGTATGCATAAAATAAAACAAGAATTGGTTCCAAATTTCCAATGCCATCGATGGCATCAATGCGTTATCTTTTAGATGAAACGTGGCATACACAGTACGGTGTCGGATTAAGACATGATACCGTATTTTGATGATACTTAAATTTTCTTATTTTTCTAAAACGTCAAAATGATATTGATTTCATTAGATCTGTCATCTGTGGCAGGTAATTTCGATCAGTTTTCCAAAAAGATTGCATAGTATTATTTAATCACAATCCACCTCATTGACTTTGCAATTGGCTGATAATTTATTCACATAAAAATGAGTATTGATATGAAGCAATTATACATCGAAATATCTGATAGAGTGATAGTCATTCTTAAACATTTTTAATTTTCTATATGACCCTATTAAAGATTATTACATAAACCCAGATCGCAAGTTTATATATACTTAATAATCATCAAACTGGAAGTAGCATTGGACCCATCACCCATCTTCAATTCTTCATGTTCATGGCCACACTCTTAGCATGGTTTTGGATAATGTTAAGTCCATACCTCATTTAACACCAAACACTTCTCAAACCTTAGATTCCGAAAACCAAATTATGTTTGGGCTCCATAGATCATATAAAACATTCGAGGAGACTATACATAAGTTTCAGTCATGCAAAGTGGATTATACAACTACCATTCTACTTGAGATAAGATTACTCGTTATAATTTTTGTTTCGATTCATTTTTTATTACGATAAAGAGGATTCTATTGAAATGTATTGAAAAAAAAAATACACAACTGTGACGTTTTTAATCATACAATTTGGAAAAAAAAAATTATGCTTACACTTTAGCGAACTTTAAAGTATAAAAAAATACTAATTGACTCTAAATTAATACTTGATTTATCCTCTTTAACCGTGGATTCCTCGTCTTCCAAACTATAAATCATTGCATTTCTTGAACTTTTGGAGTTGGGTTGATTGGTCATTCTCTTCGGCTTTTTGTTGGATATTTTCTTCCATTAGCCCAAAATTAATCATGGAAAAATGAAAAAACTTCTAAAATTATTGAGAAGATTAAGTAAAATTATGGAGAAAAATAATTCCATAGAATTATCATGATAAGTTATCTTAGGATATTAGAGTTAATTATGAAATATGTTAAAATATAAGCAGATAATATTTAGAGAATAATCTAGAAAAAGCTAGCACTTAGGCCACCACAAGTATAAATAGGAGTGCTTGGTGATATTTGTAATATAAGACCCAAGAAGAAGACCTAAAAAGATACCACATAAGAGTGTTCACTTATAAACTCTCTTGTACTAATTGAAAGAGAGGTTTCTTGAGCAACAGAATACGAGCTGCTGGAACACATACGAAACTGTTTCAATACGTGGAGAAAAGTGAGATTGCGTTCTTATTGAATTAGAAAGCCCAATAATGATAGAGGTTAAAAACCCACATGACATGAAACATGAGGGTTTCGTGGTGGTAGTATAACAGGCAAGAGGCGTTGGCAAAAAGAGTTACGCGCCTAGAGTTCCTTTGTGAGATGCACACATGTGTGTGTGGCGTCGTCCCACCATGTTGATGGTGGTTGTCTATGAAGATTGTAGTCGTTGAGAAGACAGTGTTGCATCGGTGATGCTGGTTTGTAGTCAAGCATGCGTGCTTGGTACTTATCTTCATAGTTTGTCCATGTAGAAAAGAGTGGTGGTATGCCATATAGCAATTGTTGGTTGCGGCCTTTTCTAATGGATTGATTCTGGACTAGGTCCCGGGGATGTAGAAAAACCGAACCTCGTGAAAAAAATCTACGTGTGTTTTATTTTATGCTTATACATAAAATAAAAACCTCGTTACAAACACAAATTTAGAGATCTAGCCACATTTTTTTAATTGGTATCAGAGCGGGACTCGATAGAGA